GTCTATGGCTATGACAGTCTTCACTTCACTTCGGCAACACATCCAGGCACCAAGGTGCAAGGCATTTCAACTATATTCTTCAAGTAAAGAATATAGCAAAGCAGGAACATATCGGACAAACCGACGATTTGGACATATGTGTGGAAACATGTGGAAACCACATACCTGAAATGTTGATGATCATAGGGTTTCAAGATCTTTTAGATCTATATAGGTTGTGAGCCCATTGATCCATCACCAGGTGCTGAAAGGAGAAACGGTCCCTGCCCGGGAGGCGGACTGGTTTCTGGTGGAAGTGTGGGGAGTTAACGATCGATTTATGGGGATTTCCATGGAGATTTTCCTGGTGAGTTCGCCAACCACCATGGGGATCAAAACCAGCCAACCAAACTGGGGATTCAACTCACAAAAAACATGGCCAGATCTCAAGGGTTTTTGTGACGCCAGGTGTGGGCGGGAATGCCAGCTTCTGGTTGCACCCCAGTGGCTTCACCCTAGTGTTGTCAAAGTTGTCGAACTTTGGAGCCAAAGTGCACTGGAGAATTTGACCCTTTTGAGCTCGCTGCAGGAACTTACTGGAAGCACTTTTGTCATCTTTTGCCAATGGTCTACCAACCAGTGAGATCTGGTGAGTCAAGTTATGTCAAGTTTAAACACGCTAAAAATACCTAACATTCACAAAGTTCACAACCCTGTTTGGAAGCACAGTCTTTGTTTGAAACGGCGTTTCTGCAGCGGATGTGTTTTTTTTCCTCCCTTGCCCTTCGTGAAACGAAGTCAATCGTTGCGACTGACGTTGGGGCTGAATTTCATTCCCATGGGTGAAGTGGAGAATAGTCGATTGCACATACTTGCGTAGAGACTGCGCAAATCATACCGACCTCATAACAACCTCACGGTACTGTATCTTTAAAAAAAGTAGGGGAAGCCACGGAAACCACTCCAAAACTGGTTTATGGTTTGAGAAATGCTGCAATTATGATTTGCCAGGTAGATAGAGACACGTGCCCAAAGAGTTTGTTTGGCATAGTTCGTCGTAAATTTGTGAGCTACCTTTGTGGCTGTGCATGCGTGCATCCGTGCATCCGTTCGTATTTGTAAAGAGCAATCAGTGTTGAGTGAAAAGGATTGAAAAAGGATAGTTGTCTTGAAGTTCGGAGGGTAATCGCCATACACTGCCTACCCTCAGATAATTCAAGATAGCTATAGAACATCACCATGTTTAATGTACGGGTAAATCATCCAAACATGTGCCATGTAAATCACCATGTTTCATTGCAAACTGACGTCCCTGGATTCGTCCCTGTTCGGTGGACTAGAGGGACCCCTGGGGATTTTCTTTGATGCGTTGTTGCCATGTCTCACTGCTGTTTTCTTTGGACACTTTGAGGATATATAATAGTTATATATATACATGATATATCACATATATTAATTATATATATATATACATTGTGTAGGTTATGTATTATATATATATACATATGTAGTGCATATGACGCGTGTCTATATACCCATGTCTACTAATATACAGTATATTTAATAATACATACAGTATAATAATATAACATAATATAAGCAGACACTATCCCTGAAACCCATTAACCCATTAAAAACAGACTGGCCGAATTTCTTGGCTTTCTCCACCAAGTTGGGATGTTGGGATCTGCCATCGAAACGCGCAACGGCTTCAACGGAGAGACCATGGTTTTATGTTTTTTTAATCACCAGTTTGGTTGATAAATCCCATGTTCTTCCATTGTGCTTGGTGAAATCATTGTTGTTGACTTTTTTTTCTGGTGGATTATCACCGCGTTTCTCCATATATTCTGCTTTTTTTTAGTTTTACGTATGTTGTCCCCGTGAAATCTTGATATTTGTTGAACGTCCGTCCCCATCAATCCCCATGTTTAACAATTCCCATAGGATCCATGTATGCTATATATGGTAACATGGATCCCATCAATATACCCCCAATGTTAGCATATATACCAGCACCATGGATCCTATGGGATTCATAAAACCCCCATGGTTTGATCTATTTTTCTCGGTGAAATCCATGAATTTTCTGATCGCTTTCTGATCGAACGACATTGAAAGCCTGGGCTCGGGCTCGGCCGAATGGCTTCGGAGGCGCCGGGTCAAAATGGGGATGGGTCAAAAAAAACAGCCCTAAAAATGACCACATATGCCAGTATATTATATAGATAGATGGATGGATGGATGGATGGATGGATGGATGGATAGATAGATAGATAGATATGTTTAGTATTCACCATCTATTTATTGGGTTATACTGTATATGGTTATACTCAAATAAACATCATCCCAGTGAGTTGGGGGTATTCTGGTATACCCCAATGCCAAGAATGGCCAAGATCTGTG